CCCGAAATGATACATATTTTGGCATCCCATACACTTTACACCATCTTCTGATTTTTCTTCTTCACATAGGTTGCACATATTCATATTTGTGATGATAGAAAAAGCGAACTATGGTTTCATAAAGACACTAAACAACTCTTGATAATAATAATTAATGATGATGATGATGATGATGATAATGATGATGATAGAACACGGATCACAGCTGTTCAGCATAGGGGAGCACTGAGGGTGGCATGCTCTTACCGAACAGTCTCCATAGACGCCATCCTTGTGATCGCCGGAGCAATACCGATCGACCTACTCGCGCTGGAGCGCAAGCGAATTTATGACAGGAACGTAGGTGACGGCAGAGCTAAAGCGGCACAAGAGGAGCGGAAAGAGACAATTGAACACTGGCAGGAACGCTGGAACGATGGGACCAAAGGGAGGTGGACACACCGACTTATTAAGAAGTTGCTGCCATGGGTGCAACGCGAGTTTGGGGAAGTGAACTTCTACCTCTCCCAGTTCCTGACAGCACAATGCTACTTCAGGGACTATCTCTATCGCATGGGGAGGGTTCAATCACCCCACTGTAAGCACTGTGGAAATCAATTGGACACTGCCGAGCACACCTTTTTCCTGTGTACAAACCGGAAAGAAAAACTTGATAAACTAGAGGAAACGACAGGTAGTCGCCAGATAGTAGCCAGAGAATATTGTTGATACAATGCTAAGAAATGAGAAGTCCTGGAATGCAATTCCCCACTTCATAGAATGCGTTCTGCGGGCAAAGAAGGAAGATGGCTGTCTAAGCGATAGCATATAAGGACGGAAAAAAGAAGAGACATCCATCAGGAAAGGCCCCAGCCTGAAGTAATGCGAAAGTGGTCTCAGGCTGAGGTCAGAAGAAGAAACAGGTGGTAATTTTTAGTGAGGTCGCCTAACAAGAGGTAATCCCGCACTGTGGAGCAACCGGTCCTGCTCTTCGCCTTTTGAAGGTTTTTTTTTTCCACCTGGCGCAAAAAAAAAGGGGGGGATAATAATTATAATAATAATTATAATAATAATAATAATAATAATAATAATAATAATTATTATTATTATTATTATTATTATTATTATTATTATGATTGGTAGTACCTAAAGGTTGCAGTTTTAAAGATAATCATAAAATTGTAATAATTTTTATTTTTAATGACATTTCATGTCGTTATATGTCATGTCATATTACCTTATCAAGTACTGAAATTGGAAGATCCTATCTGTACCAATATAGCTCAAACACAAGCATACAAAACTAATGTATACACATACCTTAATAGGTAACAATTTATGTATTTTTTCTGAGACTGAAGTGTAAAATCATGATAAAATTGTAATTAAAATAGAATGTGTAAAGGACTGTGGTTGGCAGGCTAAGGAACATATAAGTTTCTCTTTTATACCTTTTATAATTTCATTTATAAATACATATTTCTCTTATGCTTTTGTTCATAGTTTCACATTATATAAATAATTTCTTATATGTGTTTTCATTACTACTTCTTTCAACTACTGTCTTACATAAGCCTTTCAACTACATTGTTCAGGTGTTCATGCCATGTATAAGTTTTTAATATTGTGCTCCAGTGCACTACACGTGTTTCATGAAATAACATTTGTTCATAATTGTTAATGCATGAAGTAGGGGAAGAAAATGTCTAGCTTGGATCCAAGAGTACCTGACAGGAAGCACATTCCAAGTGCAAATTGAAAGCACTCTCTCATCCTCTAAGCCAGTAGACTACTGCCCTAAGGATCTCTTCTAGGGCCTTTTATTCATATTATATACCAGTGCACTGGGTAAAGACCTTAACTTTGACTGGATTTGGCTATGCATTTGACATTAAAATATTTGTAATATTTCTAATATAACAATTTTATTTATATATTTTCAAATATTTCGTTTCCTATCATGAGTTTCATGATGAGTATGAAAAAATGCAGTATGGTATGTGAAATGGTTATTCTTTAAATCCAAACAAATACAGAGTTCTACATTTTGGTAAGAAAGCTCCTTAACTGAGGCGTTTTACAAGAGAGCTTATGTGAGAGGAAACCGAGGCACAAGTTGACCTGAAGAATGATTCACCTCAACTCTGATCTCAAGTGAGAAAAGCTAGTTGCTGCAACTACCAAGAAAGCAAATATTTCTGTGTTTTTCATTTGGAAAGCTTTTTCATTTTTAAATGTAGCAATGTAGATGTAAAATGCAGCAAGTTTGCTCAGGGCATCTACAACCCTTCGTACAAAATGCTAACACAATCTGGTCATCTTATAAACAAAAGACATCATCTGGAAAGAGTACAGAGATGAATAACTAAACTTCCTTGAGATTGTTGATATTTAGATAATCAAGAGATATGTCAGAAGAGAAATGTGAGAATTATGTGTAGAAGAGAAAGAGGAGACTGAAGAAAAACCTACAAAATATTGAAAGAGTATTATGATGTCCAGAATTTTCATAAACTGTTCTCATAACTTGGAGTCCAAATATTTTGAATTGGTTTTAATTTTTTTAATAACAATTAAAAAGTGTGTTGTTTCCATTATCTGCCCAGAAAATGGTTAACTAAGTGAAATAATATGTTACAGGTGCGGATCTACAGGGAGGGAAATGAGGAAATTTTTCCCTCTTAAAATGTTTAGAAACTATTAATTTTAGCTTGTCATGAAACTCAAGCAAAAATATAATATTGTAGGACGAACATTAAAATGAATAAAATAGTATAGCAGCATGAGCTGAGTGTAGCCTGCGAACTTTTACAAAACAATACGCCACATTCGATCAAAGGGTTTTTAATTTCCCCTTCCAAAATTTGTCTGGATCCAAGCCTGTATGTTAAGTAGTGTATTTTTGTGCATTGTTGGTCAGTACTTTGACTTTACATTGGTATATTACTTGGGTATTTTTTTAAAGACTATAATGATTCAGGTGAGATCATCACAGAGGAAAACAAATGATCATTTTTTAGAAAACCTTACTATGAGTTCCTAAATAGATTTTACAGTTCATGTCTAAATTGTAAGAAAAATTCTAAAAATGTGTCCATTTCCATTTTGAATTGACTATTTGGTCTTGGAACAGCTGGGCTGGTTCTAATGTTTAGTGTACTTTAAATCTTGTTTTACGGTTCCCATTGGGCCCCAAGATATGTATGTTATTTAGGCTGTAATCTACAAAATGAAATACTTTTGGACCTTCTGTTATGTTTTTCAGTGTTTAACTCTTCTGAGTATCCCAATCTGTAGCATTGGTAGTCGGAATTATGCCAAATCTAGAAATGTTCGTAAAATGAAATTAACTATTTAACCCTTAGACTCTGTTTGGGGTCTTTTCTGACCCCAGGCGCAAATAATGTTTTACAACGGTGAATATTATTCACATTAACTTCTTCTTTTTGATGTTTTTTGTATCCAGTTTTTACGTGTGTTGTAAACTTTTCAGTTTTTTAAGTTTTGAAGTAATTTATTTTTTACGCAGATTGGGTGAAAAATGCTTCTAAATAGATTCCATGTCTGAATTATAAAAAAAATTTTAAAAATTAGGACCATTTCTGCTTTGTAATATTATGTTATAGTTTGTGGATAAAATCTGGCGTATTTGTCTATTTTGAGTTAATAGGTTGGTATCAGGCATTCTCATGCTTATATAAAAGACACCTAGTTATGAGGATATGCTAGAATGTTTTTCAAGAAATATTATTCTTTGTTGTTGTTTTTTAGAACAGTATAGTAAATGAAGCAAATAAATAGCATTATTTTTTTATTCAATAATTCCTAATAGCATCCGTGCATGAAACAGGTAAACTGTTGGGTAAAACATGTGGGGTCAAATCTGATCCCAAACAGAGTCCACATAAGTAATGGAGAAACATAGTTGAAAGGTAATACACTGTGCAGGTTAATTGCACGTGTGTAAATATTTCCGTCTCTTAATGTTTAGCCATACAGAGCACATGCACAGTACCTCACCTACATGATGTAACACACAATTCTCTATCTGGCTGTTCACAGTTAGGTTCCAATATGAAACTATTTTTACTTTTAAAACAATGCTCTACAAAGTGTGGAGTTTTTGCATGAGACCAAATTATTAGTATTTCTTAAATATTCAATTTTTCCCCTTTGGTTTAACCTTCTAAAAGCATTCTTGAGAAATTTGAGCTCTGAAATGTCAATCATAACTAAAGTGTGACAAGTAATGTTCTTCTGCTTCAGCATTTCCTCTCGTCTCATTCAGGTGTTTTATCAAGTATCCCTGATCCATTGAGCAAATGCCGAGTTGACCTCTTGTTTTGCTTCTGAACATAAATGTAAATTCACATTGTGTAAGTTTTGTTGAGCTCTCCTTTTGTTAGTTTTGATAGGTGTAAACTCAAAGTGAGTGAGTTGCTATTTTGTTAGCAAAACAATAAAATCAGATATGTAATTTGCGTTCCAATTCAAAGGGAGTGAAAATTTCTAGTTTTCAAATGTTTCTAACTAAGCTTGGTTGATGTGTATTCATTATTCAGCTATGCACAGTAAGGGATGTTGTAGGGATTATGGTGCTAAAGAGAAAATGTTACTTAATTTCTTTTTACTGTTTTTTGACTAAATAATTCAAATCAAAGCAAGTGATCTTTATGTGTGTTTCAGACTGTGATGACGAATCTTTATCCTGTCTCTAGTCACCCCATGCTTCCCTCAGATCTACCATCACAGCTAGAACCTTTACCCACTGATTTGACATCATATGATCTTGTTATCAATGGTGATATGGAGCAGCTATCTTTAGAAATTGAAAAGGAACGGTAAGTAACTACTTTATATTATGGTTTAATTTTAATTTAATATTTTCATAAAAATACCAGACCTTCCTGGAGCTCTTGCTTAACGCACTAAATTTTGATGTGCAATGACTCTGGATTGAATCTCACCTGAACATGAGACATTTGCAGCTTGTAAAAATATTGCACTCCCTGAGGCTGGGGTAATAGAGAAACTGTTGAGGCTGTTGTTGTGCAAATAATATCAATTGAGCTTTGTAAGATACTGCTATTAGGGCTGATGTGCTTCGATTCCTTTTGGCTTGGTGAGGAAAGCCATAACTATGTATTTATAATTCAGCCATTTATATTTAAAGTCTTAAGTATATATTAATAATTACTTAAATATTTATAATTACAACACATGTCATAGAAATCACATTCATCAAGTGTTAGTATCAACAGCTCAATACCAAAAATCCACATACAATACATACTTTACAATGCATTGCCAGATGGCATTAAACAATTGAAGACGGTACACAAATTTATGTTAAAACTAAAATATTTTCTGCTGCATAACTATTTCTGTACAGTTAGCGGCTATTCTGATCATCAAAAAGAAAGATAATGTTTATTTTAACAGAAACAGTAATATATAATGAATTAGTTTACGTTTATATTGTATTTTTTTTTTAAGACAAATTGCTTGTAACAAATAATGTACTTAGCCTTAGGGTCAATGACCCCATCTGGATCAGGTTTTTGTCCATTTTCCCTGATCCATTGAGTAAATGCTGAGATGGCCCCTTGTTTTGCTTCTGGTCATAAATTTAGCTGCACTGTGCACACGTTTTGTTGAACTCTCCTTTTGCTTGTAGTGATAGGAGTAGGTAAGGGCGAGTTTTTTTGTTAGAAATCAGAAAAATCAAATCTGCAGTTCATTTACCGTTGCATTTTACCGTTTTACCATTACCGTTGCGTTACCATTTTATTTCTATTTATTTAACTCATTTTTCATTTATTTATAGTTAAAATGATGGGAAGGGATTCTTATATACAAGAAAAAGTGTGCAAACGATCTTTTCCCCCATACGTCACTTACAGTTTTATTTTTTTTTTTTAACTGTTTTGTGACTAAATAAATCAAAATATAAATAACCACCTCTCTTCCTCCAAATTGCATAGAAAACTTCCTTAAACCTTCTTCATTGTTACTTGAACCTCCCCTCAGGCAGATTTATTCTAAACAATTTTAATACATAAAGACATAAGAGCCTAATATTTGGTAGCAATTGTGAAGTCTTGGTAATTGTGAATTCCCCAGTAATTGTAAATTCCCCAGAAATTGTGAAGTTCCTGGAAATTGTGAAGTGTTTAATAGATGGTTATAATAAATACATTGGCAACACCAGGTTACTGCAGCTGTTAATTGTTGTTGTTTTTTTGTTTCTTCACAGAATGTCTGCTGTGGTAGCCTTTTTTTTACCTAATCTAATGTAATATTATATAATAAATATCAAACAAATAATGGTGTGGTCCATTTTGAACAGAAAAATTTACATTCAATTTGATATGATTTTTATTATAGTATTGTAAAATAATTACTGTATATTGTTATTGATTCCATATATTGCATATGTTTTAGTGTTGAGTACCTTGAAAAAAGTAAACATTTGCAAGAACAATTACGTGAATTGCGATCAGAAATAGAAGTATTAAAGGTAGATGAAAAAGCTAGTGAGCTAGATGCATTGCATGAAGAGCAAGTGAGACTCGGAGAAAATAAATACTCCACTCTCCGGAAGGTGAGTTACGCTTAGCTTCATCTTTTTGACTTCTGTTTAATTGTGATGTTATGTGAATTTCTCTTGCCCAAATATTAGCATGCGCAAAAAGTTTTGTGGATCGTGTTCTACTTCTATTTGTGCTAATGTAATCATCAATGTAACTGGCAAATAGAATGTGTAATTACTTGACAAAATCACATTGAAGTTGGTAACTATCTTCTAAGAAGAAATAAGTTCATCACTTATTCATCAGAAATATTTGCACTGCCCATTTCTCCCGTCATTTGATTTTAATAAATCTATTTTGTAAGAATAAGTAAGAATGCCATGGAACTTCAGTAATTAATGCGAGATGAGAGAGGGGTTAATTCTACAAAATGGCATTTATTGTAAAAAGCTTTGTTTTTGATCATCACTCATATAATATTGCACCTTTCCTATTAAATTTCAAAATTTCTATTTTTACATCTTACCATATACTGATATCCATATAAGAATAATAATTATTTTATTGCTATTTTTTTTATCAATATTTAAAATAAATTAGCATACCTTTTCTCAATTTTATGCTGTACATGTTGAGCAAGGCAAGAATAACTTTAATTTAACCTGAAATTATCCTTCAGGCTGGAAGATATTGGAGATTTATAAAAATAGTTTCCCTTCTATTATTCTTTTTATAAAAAAACACGATAAAAATAATAATAATATAATTTTTATATTTTATTATACCATTATTTTTAAATTTGTGTGTTGTCATTCTTGGGTGTTTCAGGTTAAATCAGGTTCTACAAAGGCACGTGTGGCATTTTTTGAGGAACTGTAAAATCCATCATTTTTAATTCAGTCATACTTCTGTGTACAATATGTTATTAATTGCACAAAAGTATATGTGTGCTTCCATCAGCTCCTGCATATGAAGAGAATTTTGTAAAATATGTTGTACTTTTTTTTAAATGTACAGTACAATATCCCATCCACACAATTCTTATATATTCATGTTCTTAAGCTCCTATGAGCCTTGGCTGTGATGTAATAGCTAAGTAGTAACCAGGGTCTCTTTCACCAACTGACTTCCTGCCTTACATGCTTTCATCATCCACATTTCTGGTGAAATTACTTCAGGGAAGTATGGGATTCCATCCAATATTGAGTAGTAGATATATTTGGTGCCTTGTTGAAAGCAGCTGTTGATTTTTGTATTGTTAGTTATTTGAGAAACTAAGGCAAAAAGTATTTCATACAATTTTATGAGAAGAAAAGTTCACTCAACATACTATGGTGCTGAACTTGTTTGCAAAACACTTGTAGATGATATTAATGTTTGTGTAGGTGCTGGTGCAAATATTGTCATTGCTTCCAAATGAAAAAAGTTATAGGGATCTGAATTTAAATGTGCCATGACTTCCTTCTGCACTTCTGCTTTACTTGTATGCATTGATATGTTTTCATGAGGTCCATTTTGTATATATCCCATTTCATTACCTTTAATTGAAATACACACTTTGTTAATTATAATTAATTAAAGTTTTTAATAGCTTTTAAAGAACAGCTGTCAGATGAAATTTTTTATCAAATGTTTAAAGATCTGGTTTTGTATTCTGATTTAAGTTATTTTTCAATGTATATTACATTTTATACGTGCAAATATTGTATCCTGTATCTTATGTCATTGTGATACAAATACTAATACATAGTCAGATGCCCATGGAAGGACTGCTATGGAATTCATGAGATGATTACCTGAAATCTGTTGCCCTAATGTTCTTTTCATTCTTCTAGGAGAATATGGATTGCTGAAAGCAAATGTTTACTTGATGCTTGTATGACAATTTGTTTAGCTGACTTAAATTTTAGCCACCTCTTTGGTACTACATATATTATACCTTATGTAACAATCTTTATTCTGAAAATTTCTAAAAGTAGGCACTATACATCACAAACAAAATTTTAAAAATGGTTCTCCGCAAAATAAGGAAGTTGTAATCCCTGAGAAAATGTATCCAGTGAGACTAGATGTCTTCATGTATAGATAGTCATATTTTCTCAAATAATTAGTTGTCTGTGACAAATGTCATCATGTAAATGTGCCTTGTAAGTAGGTAATAAAATGTGATATATCAGCAAATGTTTTAATATGAAAGTTCCAAAACAAAACAATAAAAAAAAAGCACATGTTTATTTTTTATTTTTAAAAAATCAAAAATTGTTTCTTGAATAAAGAGAAGTATTATTGCTAAAATATAATATCCAAACCTGAAAAATTATGGCCAAAATGGATCACCCAAACATGAAGCTTTGTGTAATGTTTTTGAATTCTTTTGGTTGTATAGCGAACGTAAAAACATTGTCATTTTGAGAATGTTGCAAGCTGATATTGTATAATTACATAAAGGTTAAATAAACTGAGGTAAGCAGCAATTTTGTTTTTTCTGATAACCTGAGAGATATTTAAATCCCATTAATTGTGAGTCACTTCAAACATTGTGTGTAAATGGACGCGATAATTCAAAAACTGAATGAAACTTTAAAAATGCCACTAGTCTCGTAGCCTTTCTGGTAGGTTCAAATTGAAGTCGACGCCCTTGTTCACACGGACGCGTCGTTAATCTACAGGTCCAGGACGGGTTTGCCGAACGTTGCATCGTATTGCATCAGTTGGCTTCCCTGCCGAATGAAAAGTGGAGGGTGGGGGCAACCTGACACAGCAGCACGATGTGGTCAATGGAGTAGTCACATTCTTACTTTTCGTTCTCCATAATTTTTAAATTGGTGTATAACGCGTAAGATATTTGTAAAATATTTATTAATATCGAATTCTATTTTGTTGACTGATCTTTTGTATTCATTTTTCGCCGTTTACTAGTAGTAAAACAAAGAACTGAACTGATTTAGTTTGGAAGTCGACGGAACTTGTATCAAACATGGCAGCGACCCGGAGGTTGCAGAAGGTAAGGAACTTATTTTATATGTAATTATTTAGTGTAACTATACTTCAGTCAATAATATGATTTACAGTACTTTCAATTAAATTTATTAAAAAGTTACTGATACACGTTATTGTATTGCATGTGACCATAACGTGTGTCCGACCATTCACCTCGTTGCCTATCGCATGACATTCCAAAACGGGAAATGCTAGTGTGGAAAGGCGCACGTTGTGGATTTCACTGATTTTAATGTATTTGACCTATATTTTGAGTTTGTGCAATCAATAATTCCTAGTTTATGAATTAATCATATTTCTAATAACTACTTTGCATTACTTTTCAGGAGCTCGGCGATATTCGCACGTCGGGGATGAAATCATTCAGAGATATACAAGTAGATGAATCTAATATATTAACATGGCAAGGACTGATAGTGCCGGTTAGTAATTATTCATAATCCTGAATAACATTCAAACTGTGATAGAAGATTAAATGTTCCCCTTTTCTTTTTCAGGATAACCCTCCCTACAACAAAGGTGCCTTTCGCATAGAGATTAATTTCCCAGCGGAATATCCTTTTAAACCACCAAAAATTAATTTCAAAACTAAAATTTACCACCCAAATATCGATGAGAAGGGTCAGGTGTGTCTACCAATTATAAGTGCAGAAAATTGGAAACCTGCCACTAAGACAGATCAGGGTAAGTGAAAAGTAATTAATTTGTAATAATAGCTTGTGTTTTTGTCGTTTTTTAAAAGGTCTCAAGTACCCAAATTCCTAAGGTATCTGTTCATTCTTATTCAGTTCACTTGGAAAAAAAAATATTGCAAAGAATATAAATGAGCCAATAGATGTTCAATTTTTCAATTTATGTAATATTTTTTCCTTAAATTACGTTAAAAAAAAGAAAACTTTTTTTTTGTGTGTTATTGTATTGGAATAGAATTAGAGAATATATTCTCTTTTTGAGGTAATAGTTGTACTTATTGGAATCATTATCCTTTCCCTGCGGGTAATTGTAATTAAATGAAGTTAGTTTCCTTTTTTGATTTTTTTCTAAATTGGTTTCTTTTTGGTTCTCTTGCTTTGTTGTAATAAAAGTTATTTGATGTCATCACAACTCAACAATCATCAAAGATACCAAAGTTGTTAATAGTTGTTACTGAATGCACAGCGGCGATGGTGTAACGGTTAGCGTACTGGACTGTTGTACCCAAGTTGGCGGGTTCAAACCCGATCGAAGCCGTGGATTTTTAAGGGCAAAAAAATCCTTCGTACGCCTTCCTTTGGAGGGGAAGTAAAGCCGGCTGTCGCATGTTCGTAGATTTACTTGCATTTAAAAGATCCTCAAGTCTGAATGACGCCTCTGAGCTAAATTCAAATAGCCTGTTTCTCACCCAAGAAATACCTCCTTTCTCTGCTAGTTGATGAAAGGAGCGTAGAGAAATTAGCGTGGTCAGACGGAAGAGCGGGCCTGATGGCCCGAGTCTCGCCACATAAAATAAGGCAAATTCAATTCAATTCAATGCAAAGAAATAGTGCTGTTAAAATGTTTTCGTTGACACAACTTCTCTCTTTAAATTGCCTAAATGCATTAATAGTCTGGTGTTTATATTTCTTGTGTATGTTTATTGAAGTTGAATGTATATTTTTATGTATTTCTTTTTCACTTTACAAGTTTTAAATATAGGCATTTTACTCTTTTGATGCCAGACATTGAAACAAATATACTATTCCCTTGTAGAATTATATATAGCTCATAGTCCATTAACTCCATTTATTTCAAACCTGATGTTCCCTAGAGATTGGTAGTGGATATCCTGTTCATTGCTCTGTCAGACAGTAGGTTGTGTCAGGGCAGAGCATATTGTCTGCCCAGAATTGTTGAACTGCAGATTTACAGGACTGGGAAGAATACTTAATACAAAGCTGGGTAGGCATTTCAAGATACATTCAGAAATCAAACTTGGGTTAGAAAGAATCCATTCAAGAAGGTAGTAAGCTGATTTTCTGCCCATTGTGGATGAAAGCGAGGGTTTAATCTGAGTGGTGGAGTCTCACTGTAGATGTGATAAAATTCCTGGATATTGTACAACATTGCACCATACATTATTCATATTCACATGTTACATTTAATTACTAACCTAGGAGTATAAAAGTGATAATTTGATGTTTACACAATTAAAAGAACAAATGTATTGCTCATCAGATCTTTTCAGTACATCCCATTGACTGAAGATGATGAAATGGGTGATTCATGAGGAAGAGGGTAGGATAACATGTTGGAATTAAACTTGGTTTAACTATTAGCAAAATAATTATTTCATAATTCACCATTGTGTATTCAAAGCAAGCACTAAAGATAACTTCAACATAGTTGAATTTTTGTTTTGTTTTAATGAAATAGCCATAATCAAACTGCCTCGCCTGCTTTTTGAGTTGGCCCTGTGCTGCAGATAAACAAAATGAAAATATGTGAAAAATTTGTTGAAGAAAATTCAGTGACTCAAATATTTTTGGGTTGGTATGAAACATATTAAACAGCCTGAATTGCAGAAGTATTATTTTTGTATAGCATTGAAATGTTGTCAATGTAACTTTAAAATGAATTTACTGATGTGTATTCCCTTGAGCCAGTTAGATATTACTTCAAATATTTTTTGCATGAAAGAAATTGTTTTATAGAGATAACAGATAAATTTATTGTAGCTGCAGTAGGGTATAACCCAGTGGCAGCTAATTACATAAATAAGACCATATAAATTACAGAACAATTTGTATAATAATAATAATAATAATAATAATTGTACAATAGTGAAAAATGAAGTTTCTCTAGTGGTAATATAATAATTATATAAAAACTGACCAATTCATAAAAAATAAAGTTACATTAACAAAAAGAAACTTTTATAATCAAACTCCACACTCAACTAATATATTTTTCAATTCAATTTGTGTATTTGTACAATTAAGACCACACTTCACTGTACTTCATTTCCTTCGCTCTGCACTGTATGACACCTCGCTTGACAATATAACACTTGTGCGTCACTATATAACCTACTATCCTTAGATATCTTTCGTTTACTAAGTAGACCCTAAATGAATTTCCTAAACTGTTAAATGCTTCGAGAAAAAGGTTCAAAGGTCTTTGCAGGCAATATATTGAATTTTGTTATGATTCAATTTGTGAGAGAAAATTTCCTGACGTACATTCTCTGTGGTCTTAAATTTATTTTTTGCCTGTAATCACCTCTACTGTTGTATGTAGGAATACTTGGCCGCCATTTTTTTTTTCTTTTTCTTTTTTTTTTCCCCAAAATGGATGACCTCTATAAGCTTTATACGAAGGGCAGATTCTTGCTATTAATCATCTGTTTTCGAGTGAATCCCACCCTGCCCCCCTTTTTTTTTCTCCCTTGAAAGTAAATTTAGCTGCCCTACGCTGAATCATTTCCAAATTTTTACACTGCATAATTCAGTGCGGGTTCCAACAAATTGCTCCATATTCCTTTATTGGTCAAACAAGCGAAGCAATTGCCTTTGCGTTTGTCGTACTGAAGATGTGCATTACAAAGTGAAGAGTCTCCATACTTTCCTTAGTACAAAATCTACATGACTTTTCAGCATAATTTACTTTCGGAATGGATTCCTATGTTCTTACACGAGGAAACTCTCAGAATAATGTTATTTAAACGGCAATTAGTTTCTCTGTAATTATGACCCCTGCCAAATGCGATGAATTTTCTTTTAGAGCTATTTATAGTCATTCCATTACTTTCTGCCCAGTAATATAACTATCAAGATCCCGTTGTAGCATTTCTTCATCTTTCCAATTCATTCTGCCAGATATTATGCAATCGTCTGTCAGTAGCCGAACATTTGAAATTAAGTGCGCTGGCAGATTATTGACGAAAGCTAGAAATAGAAGATGTCCAATGACACTCCCCTGCGGTATTCCTGTCGTAACGCTTATTCCAGAAGATAACTCTTGCCCAATTCGAACTTCGTTTTCTGTCTAGCAGAAGCTCGGTCCACGCTATCGCCCTGGGATCGATGCCTGAATTCATTAATTTCTGGACTAGCCGATCGAGTGGAACGTCGTTGAACGCTTTGGCAAATTCTATAATAGTGTGACTCCTTGACTTTCGCGTGAGTAAGCACTCCTGAACCCGTGTTTGCTATCATAGAGCCATTATTTGATTTTCCATTCTTGCTTAATGTAACCCGCAACTAGATGCTCCATAAGTTTGCAGACCACTGACGTAAGACGTGCAGCCTATAATTACATAATATGGTTTTGTCACCACTTTTAAAAATTGGTTCGACAAAAACTAATTTCTTCATTTCTTCAAAAACTAATATCTTCAGGTACTTTTGGTAATTGTTCATGGACACATGAAATATTCTAATTAGGTTGCCTCTCCTAGTTTAATTCAGTATTAAACTGATTTGTAACCGAAGGCTCTTTAATTAGTGGATTATTCAATCCCAACTCGCGACAATTCGTATTGTTTTTGAAAACCGAACTGAAATGCATATTAAACCCATTAGCTTTTGCCCGATCGTCAGAAAAGAGCGTGTTTCCATTTTCACGTACTAGAATCTCCTCTTTATTTCCCTTCTTGCTACGAACATACTTATGAAATCATATCCAGTGGTTTTCGTTGTCTTCTTGTATATTCTTTAAATATGCCCCTTTCTCGCTCCAATTCTTTTGAACGATTTCGAAAAATATTAATATGCTCGCTACTGCGTTTTCTACTCTTAAATGCCTTTCTAGTTTTCTTCTTCATTCGTCTAATTTTCGCAAAATAGTATTCTGGATCCGGTTTAGTTTCCTAGAATTTTGTGTGGAACAAACTTTTGTGAAGCTTCGTACAAATATCTTTAATCGCGCCCCATATTTCTTCCATGCCTCCCTATGTTTTCAAAATGCGAAAGTATTGTTCCCAAATAAACCTTGAAACCCGTCTACTTTTGCTTTTATTTATTGCCGCACTTTTGTTCCTACTGTAATGCCTCAACAACTTCTCAAGATGAAAAGCCCTTTCGGCCTAATTAGGTAGAATCCAAAATCGCATCCTGCCGCGTCACGCCCCGAAGTACCCGAGTTAATCAACGGTAACAAACTACTATTTTCGCAAGTGTTTGGACTTTCCCTTCCTCACGGCTCTTCCAGTTTGCGTTAGGAATATTTAAGTCGCCTCCAATGATGATGATGATTGATAATAATAGTAAAATAAATAATAACAATTAATAATAATAATAATAATAGGATGGTATTTTCGTTTCTTGTTGTCTGAAGATGTCATCTAAAAGTATCCGTCGCTCGAGGCCTCGAGGCATGCATTAATTTCTGATATAGTTCCTGAAGTAGTAATTTCTGTTTCCATCATTTTAAACTCTGTACTGACACAGTGTCTAATCTAATAATATATGTCTGCTTTGATGCAAATAGACTCCGCCCCCTCTACTATTTCTATCCCTCTTGTAATGAAAATTAAAAATTTCAGAGGATCAGATTTCCTCAGTCATGACACAGTCCTTATTACTATGTCGGAATCGTAGGCATCAACTAGATTCCAAAACTCTCTTTATTGATTATACTACGACTGTTCACCTGCAATAAGAAATCCGTTGCTCGCCTGAAGGCGCACACTCCCAGCGTCAGCGGGCGACAGGAGAGCTGAGCAGAACTCGGCAACTCGGGTGTAGAGACCTGAGCGCCGCGCCGCCTCCGAGTCGCGCTCTCCGGGATCCACAAATGTGAACCCCCGCGTTTTAGCCACGTAGTCCATGTCGCGATTTACCCTAATATAGTACAATAATTGAATTTTGCTATAAGAGCAGTTCCTGAAATATTTATTTTTTTAAAAACTTCTTAGCATGGAAAAGAAAATATCAATAGAAGAAGCCTTAGACTTAAATACTAAGTGACTAATTATTTTGTTTTAATGTCAGTCACAGGATTTTTTTTTTGATCTATGCTATTTTAATTATTAATTGTATTCAGTATAGGGATGAGATTTTGATGTCAATGTTTTGTTATATGGATGGAAAAATTCCCATAATCACAATTGTGTAAAAGTTAATATATGAAACAATAACTGATGGCATCACTGTCGTACGCGTTCGAACCAACAAATTCAGTTTGTCTTACCTTCATCGAGCACACTATCCCTCACCTGAGATGATACTAATTCCCTGGTATTTACTTTTCATTTTGCACAGGGGATGTTTGATTTACTCACTGCCTGTGTCCACAATTGTTTCCTGTATAGCACTTTGTCACCTTCATGAAAATTTTCCAGTTTATGTAGACATTCTTTCAATATATTTCTGAAGTGCCTTTATTCTCCGTTGGTGTTTTTTTTCTGTACTTACACACGTTCCCCAAGAATATCACAGGACGACACCACATAGGGAGATGTCACTGGCCACATACTGATTACTATCCTCTCAGAATGTCTGATAGTTTACAAAACTTTATAAAATATGAGAAAGTAATAATACAAAAACCTCTTTGTCTAGATAGCGTCACTTTGAAACAAAGTGATGGAGCATGATCTCCACATTGTGATTTCAATCTGAACGTTATCATTTTTGTTTCTTATTAACTTCTGTGGAAGAAAGAGAAATACTGATTTATTAGCTTTGAAAGAAAATTATGACATTTGTGTTTCGAAAGTAAACTGTCCTTCAGGATCAAGCTTTTCTGCCGGGTCGGGGAAAAATGCGGGTTGGCGCCCAGCAATTGATAGCTAAATGGTCTGGGGACAGCGACTAGATTCAATACCTCCTTGTAACTCACCCGTAAGGCGCACTTAACCCCCCCCCTTGTAAATGCAAAAAGTGAAAATAAATTGTAGCACATATAAAAACAACTTGTTTTTATTTTACTTTAAAGTAATTAACTAATTTCAACAATTTATTGAAATTATACAGTGATTTTTGCTCCTGGTAGGTATCAGCTGTTGTCAATTTCATCCAATTGGGAGCTTGAACGTCACCATTGTGACGTTTAAGCTCCTGATTGGATGAAACCGCTAACAACTGATTCCTTCTAGGGGCAGTTGAGAAAATGGCAGTATAGTTGGCGATGCTGGTTGTATCTAACAATAAGAATGGGGCAAGTTGTTAGAGAAAGAAGAATGCTTGGGCGAGAAATGGTAAATCACAAGCAGCGGCTATGGGCGAGTGAAATTTAAGGGTGTTGCAGAAGCAATGGCCATGTGGTGCTTTCCCTCTTCAATATTTCCTAATTAATGGACACAATTATTGATTAGTAGACACAATAATTTAAATTGTTTAAAATATTTGTCCCTCAATTTCAAATATATTTTAAACTATTCGGATTTTTTACGAGTAATTATAAATGAGTATTAATCATAAAACTGCAATAAAGAATGATACGAAAAATTCTCGCTTCCGTTCCAAGAAACTGATTATAAAGCAAACACTTTTCTGGAATGGGCCACCCACGTCTGACGAGGCGTCTTGAGAACGCCTCGCGCCGCCGCTCGAGCTGAGGCGAGCGGCCGTTGCCGGTTGCCGGCGACTGGTCGGCCCCCGCGGCACGTCCGGCGTGTCCTATTGCTTCCAGTGTTCGCAACGTTTGCTTTTCTGCGGCGAAGGGGCGCTGTCTAATATTCTGCAGCAGTGAAGAAAATTAATATTTATAACAATAATAAAAATCTTCAAAATAATGCTGTAATTTCTCGTTTATTGCTTTATATTAATTTTGACCTTGACGCTTCTGTACAAGACATTAGGCAACAACCGGGACGAGGCATTTATTATCAATTTTACCAATGTACTCAGAAGTGAGGAAATTATAGACTTGCCCTGTTTACTTGAGTTGGAAATCCCAATCGCTGATTTTTCAGATGCACTAATTTATCCGACACCAATTTTTTAAAGTTCCTGGTTTCACAAATAAGTTGCTTCCCTAATGACAGTGTTCCTCGGGCGCGCAATCGCTCTGTTGTCATTGTGTTTCTAAGAAATGTTTTTATCCGCTTCGTTGTTGAAACTGATCGTTCAGCTTCTGAAGTAATTGGAGTAGGGAGAAGAATTCTAAGTAGTTTGCAGAGTTCTGGAAAAAAATTATTTCGATATAACATTTTGAAATATTATTTTAAATAATGGTACCGCTCTTGTTGCATTTCTAAATTCGCTTCTTTTGTACATAACTTGTGACTCGTCTTTTAGTGTGCCTGCTTGTAACACTGGATACGAATCATCAGCTTGTCTGAATTGTCCTTCAGGTAATTGTTTAGAATATTTATCAAAATTTTCACTCTACGTCTGCTAAGCAGCGGGAACAAGATTTGGGAATAAAAAACAATCATTAATATGAACTAAAATGGAGTGCCTTCTTTTGAATGAGCTACAGCATCAGTTTTGCTCATTTTCGTACTTTCAGGCTTATGATCAAAGGAAGTGACTGATCTTTTTTGAGAACTTATCTAAGTATTCCCTTACGCTGATAGGTTCTGCTGTTCATTTCTGCAGTTGCTTAAATGATACCTCTGCGCATGTACGTTCACTTCCCTGCACCCCGTTCCTGGTCTAGTGACATCTTGACTCATTATAGTACGATTTATTTAGTCTAGTGCATGGTTAAACAAATCCTAGTATAGACACTCTAGATTCTATTGCCTCTTCAGAACATCGCATGGGTTATGCATAAGAACATAAAAAATAACTTGGCATGCATATGTATGACATGAATTGAAAGCGACATTATAAATGTACAATTTTATTTTTTAGGAAAGAGATATTTATCGCTTTCTTCAAATTTTTTTGGGATAGCTCAGCTTGCTCTGACTACCCTAACGCTTCGCCACTGCTCTTCCAGGTCTCTCATCATTTCATCTCTTTTCTCTGCCTCCTTCCTTCTGTTCATCCTCCCCTCAATATACCTTTATTTAATTTTTCTGTACATTTGTATGTACATCTGAACTTTCAACTGTTTCAGTATTTGGTTAATTATTTTTAAATTGATGTTTTCTTGGAAGATTCTTCAATATTAAAATTGTAGAATGTTATTTCAATGCTTGTGAGCTGGCCATGAATAACAATAGAGTATTAAAGTTTAAAAATTGTACTTCTTTTGTTAAGATAAATTCATGAAATACGTAATGGAAAAGAAGGTAGAAACAGATGTTAGATTATAGATGTGTGGGAAGAATGTGTATCAGTGTATGGATAAATGAAGTAAAATAAAATAAAATAATATATATATATATACACATTCTTCCCACACATCTATAATGACAATTTCAAACCTATGGTAAATTTCCTGTATCTTATCTGCTTTTATTTCTGGAAACATTAGTCACCTTTGAGAATTTTGTCCTTCTTAGTTTTCAAATATGTCAGATTTGTTTGTTGTGAGATTATTGCCTATATTTTTAAGACTTGATCAGGTTTTTCATAACATAACTACAGTGGTAACACACATTACAGCTGATTTTCTCTTGTTTGTTGCAGTTATCCAAGCCCTAGTGGCTCTAGTCAATGACCCAGAACCAGAACATCCACTTCGAGCAGACCTAGCTGAAGAATTTCTAAAAGATCGCAAGAAGTTTATAAAGAACGCTGAAGAATTTACCAAAAAGCACAGTGAGAAGCGACCTTCAGACTAAACTAACGTGGTCAGCCTGCCCACCTGCCTAAGACCATCACCTATCTCTGTGATACCACAAGCAGCTTAGGGACAAACGAACAACAGTACTGAGGAGCTAATCAAGGCTGCATCTGACCAGCAGTTAATAGATGCAAAAATAAAGCAAATAAACACTTGTTGAAATGCTATGGGATAAACTGTCTAGAGGGAAATTACCACCAGAAAAACAGCTTCTAATTTTTGTCACAAATTAGAAGGTTGTACTTTTCAGGTGGTTTGCTTATTATTGGTTTGTGTCTTCTTGAAACCAGGAATTTTTAATAAATGTAAATAACTTTTTTTCAAACTGCATTTATTTGTATTAGATGATTGAGTGCGTCTTTTCACCCATTCAATGCATACAGTGTGTGTTATAGGTTTGGTAACACAGACAACTACCAGTGAGAAGTTTACACCTTTGTTTAGCAAATTCAACCCAGGCCAGTGTAGCGCATGCAATGAGCAATGCCTGTGTAGACGCAAAGCTTTTCTTTTTTTTTTATTTTATTTTTTTTTTCATACAGGGTGTTTTGTGCACATTGTGTGTTCCTTCTCTGTTAAATGATAATAGAAAGATTTTTGCAAGGCCTACTTGTTGCTTAGAGAAACTAAAATAATGTTCATATAATATACATTAATCAATTATTTTATTGGTAGGTGAGAAAACTTATAAGTCACTGCGTTGGTTCCTATCGTTGATCTGTATCTGACAGCAACATTTGCGCCACAAGGCTTGGGATGAAGGAGTCAGCATTGGTTTTTCAGTTCTTTGTCTTGCTTGAAGTGGGAGATTTGCCTGCCAAGTGTTAGTGCTAGGCCAGTGTGGTCAGAAAACAATCATGTTCTGTGAGTTATGGTAACATGAGTTAACAAGCACACAATTGTTTGTGCAGGTGTTAACGCTTTCATCCTACTTTGTTTTGATCCAGATCAATTATGAAAAGTTAAAAATACGCTTGTTAATACTGTGAAACAAATGTGTTGAATGAATTCTGCTAATGCTCATCTTAACATAAATTTTCTTGCCCAGTGACATAACAGTTTCTACTGTTTATGATCACACCTTGTTTTGCATGTTGTAAACATTTTGATTATTTTATGGAATCTTTGGGGGTAAATTGTTTTGAAAAAGAGCAAAGCAAGATAAAAAAAACGGCAATTTCACAAAGGATATGTAATGGTTTTTGTTAGCAAAGTTAATCATTTAGAGTGATAGCTAGGCGGTGGATTTTGATGACCTAAAACATTGCCAAAAATGATCAATAAAATGGTTTTAAAATGCCCTAAAACAACAAATGTCGTAAAAAAAAAGTATCAAAACCACTTCAGATGGAGCAACAAGCTGTTGGATATGTTACTAATGAAACTGAGGCTTCTTCCTTTTGTTCAAGTGAACTCACCTTGTAAACTTTTGGTTTGGACTGTTCTTTGAAAGAAAATCTCTGCCTTTATTTTGTCGCAAAATTGGCCAATCTGACAATGGCACTGATAAACACCCTCAGATTATGTACTACTCACATTGACTGACATTACAATATATGAACAAAGAAATCTAATAGGCTACTCAGAAATTTTGTTGTGAACTTTTGTTGCACTTCGTAATATGGTTTGAAGCAAGTGCCATTAAAATTAATTAAATCAGTGAAAAATGACGTAAAAAGGAAAAAGTTGACTTATTAGTCAGAGTCAAAATTGATGAAAAATGCAACCAAAACAAGGCGTATAATAATAATTCGTTTTGTTTCATCATAACATAAAATGAATTTCTTTGCTGAATGGCTTTGTTCTAAAGGGAAAAGAAAAAAATTGACATTTCATTAAAATCTGCCTGCTAGGGTTAGAATTCAGTATATATAATTTTCTTGAACTAGTAAAGGAAACTTTTCATTGAATGTGGATGAAATTTCACTTGGCAAGTTTGCATGCAAATCACGTGATTTCAGAAAACCAGTCTCTACGCAAACATCGTTCCTCACACTCCACCTTTGTTACTTCACTGATCACGATGCATATGTTCATATCATTGTTTTCTCGTGACTTAAGTGAAAGGTAACATTGTTCCCTGTCATTCATTGTATCGAGTTTGTTTAATAATAATGAAAGAAAGTTTCTTAGATGTGAATAAATTAATTTTAATCAGAAATAGTTTTTCTTTCATAAATCTTTCCTGATCACCTCAGTCATGCCATTGGTGGTGTTAAATATCAAAGAATTAAGTTGTCATCTTGCAAGGAGGCAGTCAAATGGATAAAAATTTCCCTTTTTATTTTGGGGGAAGAATAAAATGTTTTATGGGTTCAATTCAATTCCCATTCTTTTTCAGAAAACAAAATAATCTTGATGCTACAATTTACTGATAAATGTACAAAACTAAATTAAATATTAAAACAACCATGACCATTAAGTATGTTTATATTGAGTTCTTTAAAAACAATGCTGGTTAATAATGTCTCATTAAATTTTGTTACCTTGTTTATAGGAAATAGGTGTTTTATTAACTGAAACTTATGCAAAGGGATCTATTCTCCCTGACGTGAAAATATGTGGTGAAGATGATTCTCTCAACGATGTATTTTTGGTAATTCAGGGAGGGAAAGTTCTGGTAATTAAGTCAGAAAAATTGTTAAATGTTGAAATTGTTCACACAGTGTTGTGTATAAATTGAAAAATACTGGGAGAGTTGTATCAATTCATTTCCAAAACCTAACACCAAATTTTCGTCTCTTGCTCCAACCCACAAAACAAAATTCCCTTTATTAATAAAGAATACAACCGTAATTTCTTGGACATCAGATTTATGTCACAATTTAAAAATTATTGTGTAGGATGAGCTATTACTACTTTCACACACATTATATAACATTGCATTAGATGTTTTGCATCGTAGACAAAGCTTGTCTTCAAAATGACACTAAATGCTGAGAGGAAACTTTTGCTATTTACATTTCACTGTCTGAGAGTTAAGTACAAATCATTAAAATTTCTTTTAATTGTATTTACATTTACAAAATTTTGTTTGTATTTTAAGAAAGAAATGACAAAAGTAAGTAGATTCACAATTATTTCTAGAATCCAAATTTTGAACTCAAAAGAAAATGTTTTTCCAGAGTTTTTTCATGTAATTTCATTGAACAAAGTAATTTATTGGGCTGTGTTATCTACACAAGTAACAAAGCTACAGGTGATAAGAGAAATAATTTATTTGATTCAATGAATTTAGCTGTAACATTTTTTTTTTTCATTGATTTGAATTCAGTAATGAATCATTCATGATAGAGGCATTCTTTTCTGAATGTATATCAGTCTCGCCGAAAAATGGCAAGGGGATTGATAACGATTTAATTATTGTGGTCTGTTAATGAAATCTTGCATTGAAGCTGACTTGATTACAATGAACAACTCAGGATCATTTTTACAGGATCTCTTCCATCGAGCCCTGATGGTGCCAAAACAAGTTAGTGCATGTGTTTCAGCATGAAGCCTAAAGATAGATCAACTCTATGGAATATTAATATGTAATGTGTTGCTTATAGACAAATTGCCAGGTGTCGCTCACTTTTTGAACACTGTCCAAATTGTCACATGAAAACTTTTACAGAACCATTTAGAGGCTGTGATAAATTCCATTACCATGATCTGACAGGAGATCTCAATTTATAGAAATTAATAAAAAAAAGAACCTTTCACCTGTATCAAAACCTAATTATTTGAAGCCAAAAATCCATCAAGAATGTACATGTTTAGTTGTGGTCCATTAGCAAATGTTTGGAGCGTTTTGTTAAATTGTAAAATGGAAAAAACAGCCATTATATTTATATTCAATTTTTATAGATCAATGAAGGTTGACGATATGGAAGCCGTTCGTTATTTCAAGTAGACGAAGAAAGGAAGAGGTAACCGGAAAACATGAATTATTCCCATAAATTAATATGATTCTGTAATGTTGCGAACCAAGTGCAATATCGAAGAATTTGCTCTTAGCAGAGAGAATTCCCGAGAAGATCGTTGGGTGGAGTCGATGGTCCGGAGTAGGTAACAGACCGCTTTGGTAATGTAATAGAATTCCAATGCGTAGTACATCGTATTTTTCAATTTCAGAAGCATGAGCAAACTTGGTACAACGTCGTGATTCCTCACATGCGTATGGCAAGCAGATCAATAACAGCGCCGCGTTGTTCTGGACTACGAAGATTTTCCAAAGTGCTCATGGCTCTAGTTTGTTAGTCCAGGAAAACAGGTTTTGTAGAACGTAAGATAAAAACCTGGGTTGCAACAAAACAGTTCTTTGCATTGTTGATCTTCTTAAAGTAAGGATGAGCAGTTAATCTAAGAGTTTCCCACTTAATTACGATGGCTCTAGTAATTAACAGTTAATACGTGATGGGCGAGTACGACGTGGATAGACTTGCCAGGGACAACCGAAATCCCGAAGTTAACAATACCAGAAGAAATGAAAATTGTTTCAATTTGTTAGCATCACAACATACCAGGCCAATACAAATATTTGAATAAATATGTAGACTACCATTTCACATTTTTGTTTCGGTGCATCGACACCATGAATACTGCCTAAAGAGTAGTCCATAGTTTTCAACGTCATTGCATGGGCCTTTAAATTTTGTTAACTTTTCAAGTTATGCGTAGTTTTCAGTTGGCAATAAAGTACACAAAAGAGACCAAGTATTGATTTCGTTCGTGAAAGAAAATTTAGCTCGAAACACAATTTATGAACTGAAAATGAAAATGAGTTCCATTAATTAATGGTGAGAATAATTTTCGATATCTGATAAGGAAGATTCTGTTCTCTCGCGTGTAATATCACAAGCATTGATAAGATCTTCTCTATGCCACCTAATTTGTTTTACGTAATAGATTGGGAGAAGGGGGTTACATTAGCTTTTACTTTTTTATAGAAGAAAACTGATTCAAGGGCGTAAGTGTACGATAAAATACGTAGGTTATACTTCATAGTATGTCTACGCTTAACACTGTTGTAAAGTATGAAAAGGTCGACTATATAAATATTTAAAAATATATTTGTATTATCGAATCAATGGATGCTGTTTTTCCCTTCTTTCTTTCGAAAATCACAATGTTTTAACTAGTTTGTCTCTTGTGTGTCATGTTAAAAGATCAGTCTTTTATTAATAGACTGAGATAGGTAGTTTTCATAGTTCTAGGGAAGCACTGCAGAAATACTCATCAAAATTGACTGAATAGCTCTGTATGGGTAAATTAATTACCGCGTTATTCGTCACCGATGCGCAAATCTTCCCTCTGTTCCAAAAAGACGTTCAAAGACTTCACAAAACTACTCGCAACTATCGACCGAAGGAGGTCTATGGCGGAAATCTCTATTGCTCACTAGGAATCTCGCCAGACGACAGTTTAATTGAAACGAGACGTATCTCCCGATGGCGTCATACGGCCCGCTTCCACGCGCCGAGATATCGAATCGAAGCAGCTGCGTTGCGAACGCTCGATCCTACTTCAAAATACTGCGGTGCCACTGCAGAAGACCGCAGTCAACCCGCAGCGCGTGCCTGGGGCTGAAGGGAGACCGGGGCCACTAGGTCGGGAGCGAGTCGCAGTGTCCTGCAGTAAACTTGTAAGGGTATCGATGTTCTTGGTGTCTGTTTCGTTAGTAATAAGTGTTGTGTCATAGGACTATTTGTGCATGGGATGTTTCTATAGAGCAAGACAGATCCACACAGAGTGAATTGGAAGGTTAGAAGATGACCAAGGATAGATTAGCAGCTCTAAAAGCAGTAAGTTCCGTGTGGAATTTCCTATTTAATTATGCAAATGTAACTCATCCCACGCATGAAGTTACTCTGATTTTTTTGTGTGATTTAATTAAAACTCGCCGGTATAATTATTTCATTTGTTTCTTCAGTCTTGTTTCGGTAGATATTGAACACTACCATACCAATTTTCGAATTTAGTATTAAGCTCTTTTTTATGAATTTACGGCAGTTTGCTGCATGTTGCTTATGTAAGAACCTGTTGACAAAACAAGTTATGTTTTATTTTTGTTTACAAAAAAAATTACTTTCGATTATCATCCGTTTTTAATTTTCTAGTGAAAACAAGCATTTAGATACATTTAGAGTGAATTTATTTATTTTTTTCGCAATTTTCATTTTATGTGTATGAAAGTGATTAATGTGATTCCGTGTTTTTAGGCCCAAAGCGACGACGAAGATGATTTCCCCGAGGACCAGTATGCCGTGGACATGGAGGGGCGGGACGGGTTCATGGACGAGTTCTTCGCAGAAGTGAGTGAAAGTCGTCCACAGTTTCCATTTCCTCTCACTAACTAGTTCCTAATAGTTTTTATCCACAATAAAATAAGCAAACGCAAAGTGATTTGAATGCACCTGGTTCTACTAAGGATGTCGGGAGCTCCATTTCTTTGAACTTCGTTCTGGTTGCGAATTCTGAATAATTTATTTTGCGAAGATATGTTTTTACGTTGATGGCGTATGCCATATGAGTGTGGAATTAATTTAAACTACTACATGTGATTGTTGTCTTCAAAATGTTCGTTACCTTACTGCACCAATGTGGAAATTTATGAATAATAAATTAGAAGAATTACAAATTGGAATACTTTTAAGCATATTCAGCAGAATCTTCCATTTAAAAAATAAAAATAAAAAAAATGAAATTATAAAATTTTATTTTTGTAGTGATGGCATTTTAGTTGAAATTTTTGTGGGTAAAAAACGTAACTGTTTTGTAATTCTACCATGGCACGCTGACAGTAATGCCCATCAGAGAGATAGTTTTCATATCTCGGGAGTCAATTATACTTCAGTATTACAAAGGGAATATAATGGTGATCCTTCGACCGACAGTTGAATTTCAAAGAATTTTGCATAAATGTCATGCAGATAGTAGATGGTAATCACCTCAACGTAATTTCAGACCGATTAAGATTGACGAAATGATATATTTTCCAAACGTATTTGAACTCAAGAGCTCTTGATATTGAAATCGACATACTTTGGAAAGCAGTTATTGTTTTTTCATGAACAACCAGTAGTTTTTCGACGTTTGAAATTTGTTTTCTGTCAACTATACTCGGGGGTTGGTCATTTTGTGAGAAATTGATGAATTCTCAAATTCACATTTGTGGTTTTCCTAGAGAGGGGAACCCGCATAATATGTGTAAAAGCGACGAGCGTTTCTTTTTCATTTTCCTGTGCCATTCCACAAATCAAAATATTTTTTATGCCTTTCAGTAATCTTACTCTTGAGTGATGAGAAGGAGCGACAGTCGTGGAGACACCTACTGCGTTGCCTTAGCGTGTGTCGTCGCTTATCTGTTCGGCATCAATACCGGGAAGAGATGAAATCTCTCCAGTGTCGCCCCCTTTCGGTCATTTGCACGCTCGTGTATGATTTGTAGCGGGCGAAGTTGTGGAGGCGCGACCATCGATTCGTGCGTGGGCGGCATGCAGCGGTTGGCCCTCGCGTGCGGCCGCGGCCGCTGCGGGGGCGGCGGCGAGGGGCAGGCCGCGAGGGCGCTGCGGGCGAAATGGCCGCCACACGGGGCGCTGGCCAGCTTATTCATCAATTTCATGCTTATTTATGACGTATTGTATGTTAAATAATTTTAATTTTATATTAACATTCTAAATAACCACAATATACCCCCGCGAATCAGGACC